TGGTTACCATAATGCCTCCCGCTATTTCTAATAGAATTGCCTATATCATTAGTTGTTATACAATTGAACAAAACCGTAAAGAATAAAACCGACAAAACCAAAACATTGGAGATATTGTAGGTCTTCAAAAGTAGTTAAAAGTCAATGAGAATGGGCGTTATAATGAATCTCATTATCTTCTCAGCTGATGCCTAAACTTTTGAACCTGATACTGTCCAGCAAAACAGAATAGAGGAACCTCCGTCAAAAACAAGATGGTGAGAGTAATACAGGGCTTCAAATCGAGATAATAGAATGTCAAAGTGGGTTACTATATTATACCCTGCTATATTTTTCCCTTTAATTAAATGGATAAAAATAAAAAAGTAAATAATGGAGTGGAGATTGAGAAAAAAGAGGGCATAACAGCGAAACAGGGCAGATCAAAACATAACCATTTAAGCAGAATAGTGTTTCACCACCAGATAATCCTGACCCAAAAATAGTTACCATATTGACTCCCTCCCTGAAGTCCTTGAGTACAACTTCATATACTGTAGCATTAAGTATATCAAAACAATGTAAAACCATTTAAGAGAATGACAGCATTATAGAGTATTTAGAATCGACTAACAGAAAATGAACAATGGTCTCTGTATAATCTCCTTGTCCTTAAAAGGTTTTTGCTTATACTATCGTACATAACAAAATCCAATAAGATACAACCTGTTTAGACCATTGGAGACAGAAGAACAAAAGCTAGATGAGACTTCAAAACAAGATTTTACTAAATCAGCATTACCTATTACGATGTCATTTTCTCCAAAAAAAAGCTGTTCCTATCATCCAATCTTCTCTGTCTCATTTCTGTTGAGCTCTTTTTCTGTCAGTAGCTGTCAGTTTGTCTTCTTCATTTTGTTCTCTGCTCCATTCATTGTGGCCTCCCCGCCACTATTTCAGGGTTCTTTGTATTTTTCTTTTTTTAGAATATCCTGCAATACTTTCTGTAGGGTTGAATTGGTGGTTGCAAATTCCCCCAGTTCCTCTTTATCCTGGAAGCACCTCGTTTTTCCATCAATTTCCAGGGACAGTTGTGCAGGATATCTCAATCTTGGCTGGAGATTATTATCATTCAAAGCTTGAATTATTTCTCCCCATGCTCTTCGTGATTTGATGGTTTGTGAAGAGAAATCTGCTGTAATTCTGATGGGTATTCCCTTGTAAGTGATCTGTTTCTTGTCTCTTACAGCTTTTAATATTCTGTTCTTGTATTGAATTTCTGGAATTTTTATTATTATATGCCTGGGTGTTTCTCTGTTAGGGTTGTAGGTAGCTGGGGTCCTGTATGCCTCATACATCTGAGTATCTTTACCTTTTGCTAAATTAGGAAAATTCTCCTGGATTATTTCTGTGAGTAGCTTTTGTAGTTCACTTGTTTGTGTCCCTACTTCTTCTTTTATGTTCTTAATCCTTAAGTTATGGCTCCTCTTATCATCTTCTTGTCTTTGTATTATTGCTGTGTGTTTCTTTGTTATTTTTAAGAAGTTTTTCATTTCATTCTCCCATGTTTCAAGTCTGCCCTCCAATTCAGGTAGTCTGTCCTTAGTTTCTTTCAAGTTGTTATGCCAGTCTTGGATAGACTTCTTAATTTCTTGATAGTCTCTTTGAACCTGCTTCACATACTCAATGCTTTCTCTGTTTTCTCCATCAAGCAATTCTCCTCGAGGGGAGAGTTTTGAGATACAGTCTCGATACATATTTCGTTCTGGCATTACTCACTATGTAGTCAAGGTTGACCTCAAACTTGTGTTATTTTTCTGCCTTACCCTCCTGAGTGCTGGGATTACAGATATGTACTCTGAGGCTTGACATATGTCTGCCTGCAAGTTGACGGGATATAAAGTCTGCTTTAAACTGGGTAGTCTTGGCAGGACCTGGCCTCCATGCAGCAGGTGAAGAGTGTTTGTTCTTGTTTGTCAGTTGTCCCTGCTATGTTGTGTTCCCCATGGTGGAGCCACTTTAGTTGCTAGGACATAAACATCATGTCCTGTCTCACTGAGATAATTTCAGCATGTGTTGAGCCCTATTTTGGGGTAGCTCAGTGCCTGCATCCCCTTCTCACCATATTTTGCAGGGATAGTGGCAGGGCTGTGGGGAGACGTCTGACCTGTGTGAGGTGTGTGTGGGGTAGCACTGAGATATGTGGTGCTCTGTTTTTTATTCCAACTGAAGACCTGGCGTCATAGTTTGTTTATAAAATGTCCCTCAAATGTCATATATGTTTGGAAGTTGAGTGGATTATGTGGGGCCCATAGTCATCAGTGGATTTATCCAGTGATAAGTTCAGTTGCTGATATTTCTGTTAGGAAGTAGGACCTGGTTTAAGATGGGTTACAGGGGATCTGACATGGAAAATTATATTATTATTATTTTTGTTAATTTTTAAGAAAATAAAAGCAAACGAAACAGAATAAAGTGAATCAAAACAAAACAGTGAAAGTGATATGAACTTGGAAACAAGATAATAGGAAGTCAACAGTGGCTGCCATAATGCCTCTTGTTATCTTCAAAATAGCTGCCCATACCATCATGCCTAATAAAATCAAATAGAATAAAATCAGTCAAAACAAAACAGTAAAAATGATATAGGATTTCAAAACAAGATAATAGGAAATCAACAATGACTACCATAATATATCTTGTTACTTTTGAAATAGCTGCCTATGCCATCAGGTATGGTAAAATAAAGAAAACCCCACAAAAAACAAAAGGCAAAAATACCCCCCCCCAAAAAAAAACCAATAAGCAATCAAAACAAAACAGTAAAATGATACGGGACTTTAAAACAATTAACAATTAGCTGAAATTAACAATGGCTACCACCTTTCCTTTTTAGACAGTTCCTCCCCTTTCAGTTTCACAATATCTACTGTACATTTTGGATCCCACTAACTCCTTCAGCTTCTTATACTAGGGAGACAACATGGTGTTCCTCTATATGATCTGAACCATTTCACCCAAGAACATGATCACAAGTTGCATCCATTTACCTACAAGAGCCTCATGATAATCCTTCTTTATAGCTGAGTAGCTTTCCATTGTATAAAAATGTTGTATCTTTCTTACCTATTCTGCAGTTGATGGACAAGCTATCCCTTTTTTTCTGGTTCCCTGTCACATGGGGCATTGTTTTTCTCCTTTCAATCTATAAGTTTCCTTTCAAGTTAATGTGTTTTTTGTGTACAGCAATTGATGGATCTTGTTTCTTGATCCACTCTGCCTGTGTTTCTTTTTATTGGTAGATCGAGGTTGTCTACGTTAATGGTTATGACCACCATGCACTGGTTCATCACTGCCATTGGCTTCCTACTTTCCCTCCTCCATTCAAATATCTGCCTTGCTTAGTGATCCCTCTCTGTTGCTGTTATTGGGACCATTTTTAATCTCACTCTAGAATATCCTTAAGTACTCTTTGTAGGGTTAGTTTGGTGATCATGAGTTCCTTCATTTGTTCTTTGTCATGGAAGTGTCTCCATCAGTTTTGAAAGACAGTTTGGTAGGGTACATCAATCTGGGTTAGAAGTTATTTTCTTTTAGGACTTTAAATACTTTGCTCCAAGCTCTTTGTGATGGTTTGTGTTGACAAGATTGCCATGATTCTGATGGGTTTTCTTTTATAGGTGATCCTATAAAGCTTTTAATATTCTGTTCTTATGCTGAATTTCTGGGATCCTGGTTATTATATGTCTGGATATAGATTTATTTTGATTATGGTTAGTTGGCATCTAAATGCCTTACTTATCTGTATGTCAGGTCCTTTCCCCATGCTTAGGAAGTTCTCAGCTATTATTTCTGTAAATAGTCTATGCCATTTGTGTTGACTCCTGCTTTTTCACTGAAACAACTTCTTCTTCTTCTTCTTCTTCTTCTTCTTCTTCTTCTTCTTCTTCTTCTTCTTCTTCTTCTTCTTCTTCTTCTTCTTCTTCTTCTTCTTCTTCTTCTTCTTCTTCTTCTTCTTCTTCTTCTTCCTCTTCCTCTTCCTCTTCCTCTTCCTCTTCTTCTTCGCATCATCTTGGAGCTGTTGAATTATTGTTTCCTGGTTCCTTGTTATTTTTAAGAGATCTTTCCTTTTGTAATCGCTAGCTGAAAATCTGTCATCAAAGTCTGAAAGTCTGTCTTCAGTTTCTTTCAAGTGATTTTGTCAGCTTTCAATGGAGTTTTTAATGTCCTAGATATCTCTTTGAGTCTGTTTCATGTGTTCCAGTTCTTTTCTATATTGTTCATTCATGGTTTCCCTCATTTGCCTATGCTCCTCTTTTTTTCTATGTCTTCTTTAGGTACGCTCAGCAACCCTTTTACTATGTTTGTCATTTCTTTTACCTGAGATATTTTTATCTGATTTCTTTTACAGCCTTGTGAAATAGTTTCTTTACTTCAGTTGCCATCATCCAAGAAATTTCAGGTGTGTGACTTCCACTTTCTTCCATGTCCATTTTTCCTGGACTTGTTCTGTGTGGGCTGGAGGACAGAGATCACCTTTTGCTCTTTGTCTTGACGTTTTCCTGGGTTCCTCTGGATGTGTGGGTTGTGTGGTCCCAGGTGCTTCACACATTGGCTACCTGTCCACAGTGTAGGGGGATGGGTCAGGCACCTGGGTTTCTTCCTACCCTGGTTCCCCAGGAGGCAGTGGGGTGTGAGGTGGGCTTCTCTAGACACTTGTGTCTTCTCGAAGGTGCGCCTGGCTGGTTCTCCTGGCTCGCACTGGCTACTCCACTCAGAGAGTCCCAGTGGCAGTCAGTGTGCTTGTCAGGGCTTGGCTGGCTGTTTCTCCCACTTGTGCTGGCTACCAGCTCTTGATGATAGAACAAAAATGTGATTAGCTTTAAAATTTCATATAAATGATCACTCTTCACTATGTTTGGTAGAGCAGTACTTGAATCACCCAGAAGGGTCCTATGAAAAGCTGGGGGAAAAAAGAGGTCTTTTTATAATTTAGAGCAATTACCTCAAGTGTAACAGTTAAGAGTAACAAGACTAGTTGCACAATTTAGAGGAAACAAAATGTTTTATTTACCTGATTGAAGTTTTTTTTTTTTTTTTTTTCTGAAGAGAAATAAAGTCATCTCCTGGTTTGCAGGAGTACAAGGTTTGTGGTTTGTCTTTGCTTTTTGTGTCTTAGTTAGTGTGCATTTTATTTGGAGAAGTGAATCCAGCTATCTCTTCCTTGTACCTTAATGTCAATATGAGTGATTAGTAGGGTTATATAAGGACTTTTCCATTTGGAAGTAAGTTGGTGCTGGGGCCTACCCTTTTTCCAGGTCTTGACACCTGGCCTATGGCAGACTTTGAACTGACAATTATTCTTAGTCCGTGGAGTGAAAGAATCATACTTCTATATTCCCAAAGGGCCTGCTGAAAGTTTCCAGATGGGTCACATGTTGAAGGAGCTGGGAAGTTTTCCTATCAGTAAATAGGTTAGATGTCAAAAGGAGCCCCCCACAAATAGGCTGAGATTAAGTTTAGGTGTAGGGTGTACCCAAAGTTTCATTAGAGCAATTGGGAGGAGTTCTAGCCATTTATGGATTTTTTTTTTCCCCAGCACAGCTTGTCTAAGGGTCACTTGAGTGTTTGCTTGGATTACCCAATCTTTCCTGATAACTGGAGCCTCCATGCATTGTAGAAATGGTACTAAAAGATTCCTCATCACTGGTTATATACTGACCCCTGCTTCATCCAGAGCAGCTCTCGAAGTTCCTGCGGGAAGGACGGTGAGAGAATGGAAACATAAAGAAATGAGAAAGCTGAGGTCAGGTGAAACCCTCTCTCTAGAAGGGAGCAAAGAAACTGCTCAGTCACTGTAGTGCTTATTTAAACGTTAGCAGTTTAGTGTCCTGTGACACCCTGTTGCCTAGTAATCTGCATCCATGGCAACCTGAGGGCCAGTGTTCTTGGAAATGGAACACCTATTTGCCTGGGGAATTGTTCTCCTACCAGGCTTGCCTCTTGCCTATGTGATCAGTCTCCAGCTTCAGCTGCTGCCTACTAGACCCACTTGGCATTGGCAGTTTGGAAACTCCAAGTGAGGACCGTAAGCTCTAACTTTTGGGCAGAAATCCCAGAGGAGAGTTCTCTTGCTTCAGTGACTTGGTAGGACTGTCTGGGATAACTCATTCTCCTGATGGCTCATTTTATGAAACTATTGCCCTTTTCAAAGGTTCAGTTTGTTGTTGTTGATTTGTCTCATATAGGGCTTTGGCTACTATTATTAAAATGGAACATCCATATATGAGAGAATCCCTAGATTTCCAAGAAGGCCCTCAACTGCTCTTTAGTCTTTGGAGGACCCTGATGGTAAATTTTATCTGTCTTCTTTGCTGACAGTTTTCTTTGCCCTGGTGTTAAAATATATCCTGTATATGTTATTTTGTTGAGAAATCTGAGCCTTATTTTGGGACACTTTGTAAACCCCTTTTGGTAGAAAATTGAGAGTGGTGGGACTACAAATGGGGTCATCTATGTATTGTAATAATTTCCCTTTTTAAACTTTAACTGTTACTTTAGGTCACAGGCTAGCACCTGTGCAAACAAGTAGGGGCTATCTCTGAAACCCTGAGGAAAGACAGTCCAAGTACACTCTTGACAAAACCTTGTTTGGGGATCCTTATGGTCAAGTCAAACCACTATTGTGAGTTCAGATCCTTGGGGATACTGAAGGCATCTTTGAGTTCAAAGAGAACCAGTTAGTATCTCCTGCAATCTGTGGTAAAAGGGTGTATGGGTCTGTTACTAGTGGATGAATAGGTACCTTGCTTCATTGATTTGTATGTAATTTTGTACTATGTATATTCCTAATAGGTGACTATGGAAAAAATGGATACATTGCACTCATATGCCACCAATAATCCGTAGTCAACAATTTACCAACCGTGGGCCTTATCCTCTGTGTAAGTTCTCTCAAGATAATACTATCTTTGTGAGGGTACAGATTAGGGTTCTGTGGTAGAATGGCTACTGGAGGGCTTTGACAACCCTCCCCAGGGCCATCATAATATGCTTGGGGATCAACTCCCAGCAGAGAAATTGGGCCTCATAGGGTCAAGCTGGTTGGGTCCTTAGCGACTAGGACATGGCTGTCACAGGTTTGAATGACAGAGTGGCCCTGAGTAGGAAGAGTGTATCTGTTTAGTTACTGGTGTGGGGCACTTCAGTTTCAACATAAAGGCAACTTGGAAAAGGAAATCTTGCAACTGGTAACCAGCCAACTGTTTCAAGGCACACAACTTTGGAATAGGGTGAAAGCTCATCTCAAAAAAAAATGAGAATTAAGATACCTCAGTATCCCAGAGGCTTGTCTGCTACATCTGGGGTCACCCAAGGCTCCTTCCTGTATGGCGATGAGGATGTCCTTGTGTGGGGGCCATGTGGGCCTCGTTAGATACTGTTGTTCACTGTCCGGGTGGGCATTCTTCCATGGCCACTGTGATGGTGGGCGGCCTCACCTTTCTCTGGGAATGAGGGGGTCTCTTCTTCAATGCCAGGAGTTTGTGTTCTCATAGGCTCAGCAAAGTTTGGTTGCTTTCGAGGGCGCTGTTTTATCCAGTGTCCTGGCTACTTGTACTCGAAGCTCTCTGACTTGCTGCTATCACTGTTGAGATTAACTCAGTCCCCATAACCCAGTGGCTTCATATCCTGTAGGGTGAGCTTGCCTCTCTCTTATTCAACTTTTGTCTCTCTTCTATTTTGTCATGAATATTAAGGTCAAATAACCCACTCAGACCAATTTACTTGTCCCAGTTTATGGGCTCTGTTTGAGTTTCTAGAGCTTTTTTCCTAATTCCAGGAGCTGACTGACTAATAAAGTGCTGTCTTAGGAGATCTAACCTTGCCTAGACTCTGGGTGTGAATTAGTGTGCTAGTGTTATGCCTCTTCAAGCTGGAGTTGGAAAGCAGTTCGGTTTTCATCAGAACCTTGACTGATAGACTTGAGCTGATTATAGATTACAGGCTTGGGCAGCCCCTCGCCCATACCCTGTAAGGTGAGGGCAGAGGAGCCTAACTTCTTCCCCTGTTTTGTAATCGTACTTGAGCCCCTCTTGGGGTCCAAATAATGCATCAGCTTTGTTATGGTTTAAGAACTGGTGGTCAATTTAATGCCAGCTGGATTACATCAGCATGGCATTGAGCCAAGATGCTCTACCTGAGGAAAGTTGCCAGGATAAATAGGTGGAGAAGAAGGAGGTATTGAGGGTTGAGGTATTAATGCGTTGTTGCGTGGAGGCATTGTGGGTTCTCCTACAAGTTGCTGTTTGAGCTGTTGGTTTTCCTGGAGAAGCTTTGGTCCTCACATCGAGCATTGCTTCCTGGCTCCAGAGGGGAAGATGTGTGCCGCTTGGTCTCCAGGATGAACTCGTCACGCTGCTTCCTGGCGTGTACCTGATTGTGCTGGTCGTCGGAGGAGCTCGGGGCCTCCGTGTTGCTGAGGATGGCTGTGGTGCCTTTCAGGATAGCCTTGGTCTTTGTTGTGAGTGTGACTTCTCAGCTCCAGTGTAGAACACTCATCCCACTAGCACAGCTCCTTTATCCTGTTGGCACAGACTTCCTGGCTTCCACCGCTGACCCTTGGGTCTTCCCCACACAGATCCATAAAAGAGACTGGCATGAGTCCTTCTTGTGGGCTCTGGACCTCCAGTTGGACTCGTGGGAGGCACTGTCCTGAGCTCTGGGTTTTTATCTGGACTCGTGTGGGACATTGCTGTGGGATTTAGGCTCTTGACTAAATATTCTAAGTCTTTGGTGTTGCGGATAGATTTCCTGCATTTTCCTGTGTTAACTCCTGGTGACCATTATAAAAATAATATTATAAACTCCATGTCTTGATCCTAATTGTTCTCTGTGTACCACTCCTAACTACGACAAGCTTGTTGTGTATTATCAGGTTAAGCCACATAGGCCTCATTGTTAACCTGCTTTCCAGCTTTTATGATCCTTCTTTTGTTGTTATTTTTGTTTTGTTTTTATTGCTGTGCAACAAGAAACCAGGACAGCATCTCACCAGGTCAGATCTGAAGCCATTTTAAAGGTGTGGAAACCATCAGCAAGCTTTTTAGCATCTTCAGAAAATCTACCCAGTTGTTTGTTTGTTTGTTTTTGGGATTGTTATATATCTATTGCTGAAAAAGGGACTTACTGAGAAGGTATTTAAATGGGTTCAGGTTGAATGGGTGGTTGCACCCCAAAACACATGTGGTAGGCAAGGAGAGGGCATAGGAGCCTAACAAGCCTGTCCTTGGGTCCATCCCTGGCATGTTCATAGGGACCTAGAGGGCATCCTGTGAGCTGTTAGCCCGGGGTGTGACCCGATAGGACTAACCTGCTTGGGATTTGGTCAGAGAAGCCTTATAAAGTGTTTCCCTATGTCACTTGCCACATAGGAATCTTACAGGGCACCCTCTAGGTTTATTACTTTGTCTAGGTACTGCCAAGGAAGTCCCTGATAAAGCTGGACTCTTCGGCAGCCAGAATCTGGCCTTGTCTGGATACGGAACCTCTGGGTCTCCACCTATGACCACAGCCCATTTTCTGGACAGTACGTAGTCTAGTGCTATACTGGTTGGAAGCCTCAAGCCAACTATAAAATCACCTAGTCTGACTGTGGCAGTGTGACTGTCTAAGGTGGCGTAGTCAGTGCTTTTTAAAAAAATAACCCCTCCCCACCAAACCCTAATAATTTTCCTACAGCCGGGGCTCCTAGAGATTTTGGCTGACAAATGAGCCACTGAACAGATGCTATCCCACTGTCTGACAGCAGGTGGCAGTCTATGAACAGGAAGTGTGACATCAAGCACGATGTGATTCTTTTTTTTTTTTGTCTTTTTAGTTTTTTATTGGTACCAGGGATCGAACTCATGACGGCCTGCTTGCAAGGCAGGTGCTTATTCCGCTGAGCTAATCCCCATACCACCGCTACTAAGTTCATACAAGATTTGACTTTTGAAATTTGCTCCCTTGTATGGCAGGGCTTTGATGTTATGACGTTACCTCCTGTATACCACATTGTGGAGCAGGATATAGCACATGAAATCTGGGGGAGCTCACCTGCTCAGACCACAGGTCACTTATATGAGAAAGTACTCTGTATTGAGCCGTATTGTGAAATGCATAGGGCTTGCTGATTTCCCAAGAGTTACTGTGCTGATTTCTAATTCGTATTGAGCATTTCTGGGTGGACTGAAACTGAAGCTTATTATTCTGTTTTTTTTAAAAATACTATTCTGTTTTGAATTTATAAAAAAAAGTGCAATGGTTGATTTACAAAGTGAATGTGCACAAAATATCTAAGAACAAAATACAAATTTAACTACCTTTAATATTGATATCTTTTATAGAAAAAAACTAAAAAATTTATAAATAATAGGGGACTAATGGTGGTTAACACATTGTGTATTGTTACCTTTAAAGTAGTTTCTCAGAGTACAAGATATGGGTATAAAAGATTCTCTAATAGATATTAGCACAAACTTTCCTTTTCAGTAATCTAAGAGACACTAGTAGTATAACTAACTTGTATTTTTTCCTTTTCCCTTCCTTTCTTTCCCCTTTGGCTCACCTTAGTTTCTTTTTCCTTTTGAACAATATCTTCCCATTTCACAATATCTATTGTACATTTTAGATGTTATTTACTCTTTTAGTTTCTCACACCAGGGAGACAATACAATGTTTACACATGGGAATCTGATTTATTTAACTTATGAGTATGATCTCTACGTGTATCCATTTACTTATAATGTCTCAAGTTTATCCCTCTTTATGTCTCAGTAGTACTCCATTGTGTAAAAAAGAACCTATCTTTTAAAAAATCTGTTCCTCAGTTGATGGGATTTGGGTTGTTTCCAAGATTTAACTATTATAAGATTTTGCTGCTATATATATAGGTGCACGTATATGGCTGTGGTATGGTGTTTTTAATTCTTCTGGGAAGACACCCAGAAGGGGAATAGCTGGGTCAAATGGAACATCTAATTGTAGCTCTTTGAGGAATCTTCATACTGATTTCCACAATGATTGCAGTCTGCACTCCCACCAACAGTGAAGAAGGGTTGCTTTTTCCCCAATAGCCCCTTCAGCGTTTGTTACCGGTGATTTCTTGATGATGGCCATTCTTTCTGGGGTGAGATGGACTCCCAGTACTCTTAATTTACAATGCTCTAAAAAAAAAAATTTTACAATGCTCTAATGACCAATGATGTCGAACATTTCTTCATGTATTTATTTGCCATTTGTATTTCTTCATCTGAGAAGTGTGTATTCATCTCAGATGCCCATTTTTGGATTGAGTCTTTGAATTGGGGGGGCCTCATTTTTTTCAACTCTTTACACATTCTAGATATGTATAAAGATCCTTTATATGTTCAGACAGAGGTCTGAGGGACAGTTGGCTAAAATTTTTTCCTACTCTATAGATTGTGTCTTCACTGTTGCTGACTTCCTTTGATGTGTAGTTTTTTTTTTTTTTTTTAAATAAGATGAGATCCCAGTTGTTGAATCTTTGAAGTGGTGCCTGAGCAGTCCTGGTTTTGTTCATGAGTTGTCTTAATATTGGTATCTTACATAACTAATGTTAAAAGGTTAATGACAAAATGGAGTTTTTTGGCCCTATGTTTACAAGACACCAACTGATGGTATTGGGCTCTTGTGTTTCTTGCATCTAACTCAAAGCACCATAGCTAAGAAGTGGCCTATGAGATGGGAAAACAATGTTGAAGAAATAATTGTACATGTCAGCAAAGGAAATGAGTATCGTTCATATAGTGTGAAGCCAAGTGTCAGCCTCACAACACCAGCCCAGTGCAGTGTTTCCCAGGTCACTTCTTCCCCAAAGTGGATGTTGGTTTTAGCAGGCTCTTCTCTTCACTTTTCTTCAATGAACTTATTCGAGTGAATTCTC